CTAACTAATTTACACTTTACAGAATAAAAATTACAAATTATAAAAATAATAATAATTGTTTATGAAATTTGAATGATACAATGATACAATTTCACTTTGGATGACGAATTCATGTATGTGAGTATCGTGTAAGTATATGACAAAATAAATGCTCTATACTTTTATTGTTATAATTATTAATTACTTTGTCATAAATTAATATTTTTGTCTTTTATGATCYATCAAGAAGTCAAGTATAATTATTCGGTTTGATGCTCGTGACGAAAGTAATAAGARATTATTAATCTTGTAGAAGTTACCATCAGTACAGCGTGATTATATTATTATGCCATACTCATGATCCAATCTCAAATTTCACTAATGAGAAATAAGAAGAAATCAATTGTCAACTAATTGTCTAGTTGTGAGAATGGATTTATCAACGGAAGAACTACTTAGCAGAAAAGAGACGTTGAAGCAATTTGAAAACTATATTGACCAAACAAGAAACACACTTAAGTGTTTTGTTGAAAAAATTGGATGGACATTAGATGAAACACCAAACAATGTAAGTATTCAATACTTCACTTATAGTCTTTAACTTTAAGAATAGTTGCTTATTTTAATATTGAATGAAATTCAATAAATAAGCCAATTCTAACAGTTCCAACATTTGTACTGCTTATTTAGATATTGGGTTCTTTATAAATACTAAATGAATGATTATCATTCAAGTTAGTGTTCAAATATTAAAAGGCTATGTTATTAATTATTATTAAAAGATTGCGTGAGAACAACATTTCCCACACTTTTCATCTAACTTAGACTCTTAGAGATTAACAAAATAATTTTGAATCCCAAACCAAAAATAAATATTAGTTATAAGTGTATTGTTTTATTTTATGAATATGACTTAAATCTTCCATGTATGTCCCCGTCTCATAATTCATGTACGACATTGACAATTTCATTTTTAGAATAATACATTTTTTTACTTGAATGTAATATATTAATATATTAAATATAAATATATTTTTTAATATATCAATTTCCACAGAAATTATGAAATATATGACTGGATCTATTGCTGTATACTTTGTATCTCTTTTATGTATTTTAATTTTAAAGCAAGTTTTTTAGATTTTTAAAATTAATTTTTCCTAATATTGAAAATAGATTTTTCTGATTRTAAAATTTGCTACATTTTATATTATTTGACAAAGATAACAAATGCTCTCATAAATTAATTAAAATATCCTTTTAATGTGATACTTATATGAAAAATATTACATCGGTAATCTATTTTATTTTATTATTTAAAAAAAAAAACTTAAATTCCATGTTGTAGATGATTATTTCAATGTATAAAAACGATATATTGCAGATCCCAAATTGAAAAATCATGTTTGAGAAAAATATAAGTTCCTAGGTCGTATTATACATATATTACTACAGTCTATTTGAAATAACTAATTTAATAATTCGCGTTTAAATTTAAATTATTAAGACAGTTTTATAATTTTAATATTATGTATTTTATGTACTTATTTACTTCCAGGATAAATTGGTCAAGTGTCCATTTAACAATGAACACAGAATGCCATCATCCACACTCGAAGTTCATTGTCAAAAGTGTGCACTGAAAAAAAATGGATACGATTCATCTCATTCATTTTACCCTTCTTATAATTTGTCAACCACTTTGGCCCAGACTGTAAAAATTGGTATATATAAAAAAACATTTTTTATTTTGTTTATAATTCATCATTGATCACATAAATTATTATGATTATAAATTTATAAATTTCTGCTTTAAAAATCAATCTATAMATTTTTATGATAAATTCTTAAATTAGTATCACATACATAACTACATGAGATGTTACAAATTACTGCTTTCCTTGAGATGGTCTCATTGACATTTATATTGATGAAGTGTTGAATACAATTCAATTATTTATTTGATTTTAATTATACATTGATTAAGTATAATTTATTTTGTTCTACTTAATGAAAATGTATTTCATTTTTACTTGTTACAGATGAAATCACTCAAATGCATATTTTGAAAACTGCCTTCGAGGAATCAAATTCAACCTTAAGTTAGTAATAATAGAAAATTAATTAATATTATTTATTGAATAAATCAATGAAATATTTTTCATAACAGCTAATGAATCTTTTTCAGATATGATTAAGGAATGTTTGGTACAAGATATTTTACAATATTTTGTTATGTATTACAAAAAAAAAAAACATATCCTTTTTAAATATTCTATTTGATGATAATAATAATGATAGTTAGTTAATAATTATTATACTGTTTCATTATTACTTCAATTATAATAATGATTAATGATACCTATTAATTTCAACAGTTTTCAAATATTTGTTCTTTTTTTTTAAATTTGACAAAAACATTTGGATCTATATATTCCTTAAAGAACATCCATATACATTTTTTATACTTGAGGTAAATAGACCTCTTAAGAAAACTTATTTATTAGCTATTCATTTGTGATCATTTTTGCAGTAAAATAGTAAAATATATTATATATAATATACATGTCTACTTCAGTCATTAAAWTTTTTTTTTTTATTTTAGATATAAATCTTGAGCCTAGAGCAGTTTCTCAAAGTATAGAACGCTATACTTGTGATTTTACTACTGATGAAAGAAGAGTATTATATGATAGTGCTGTAAAATACACCAAACTTCCTAATCACAAATATGTGATAAATGATTTAACAGGGTAATGTTTAAATGAAATACATGAATTATTTTTAAATAAATAATTATTATTATTCATATTAATTTTAGTGTGGATGTTTTTAATAAAACTGATGATAAACCTAAAACTGAGCTTGAGCTATTGCAAGAGCAAAGAGATTTAAAACGTAGAAGTGCTGCTTATAGAGGAAAAAAAGTTCACACTGATAGAAAATCTTATGTAGAAGTAWGTTAAATGTATTTAAGTTATTAGTATTCTCAATTATTTCTCAATTAATCCTTTTGATTATTTAGATTTTAAGAGAAGTAGTTGAAGGATTAACTAATAGTTTATCYCAGTCCCATTCAGAAGATAAATCAGTGTGCATCCAAACTTCAAATACTGTTTCAGAAACTATACCAAATGCCCGTGTTGTGTACAAGTATGCAGGTAATCAAAGTTATGGTAGTAATCCATATACTCGCTGGCTTGATATTCAAACTGAGGAATCTAAATTATTTAAGTATTGTCAAAAAAAGAGTCAAAATTCACATCAAGAAGCCTCTACGTCTAGAATATATTGTAAAGATCAAACTGGTTTTACAACATCAAGAAAAAGTAGATCTAAATCAAGAGAAAGAAAAACATCCACTAGTGAATTAAAATCAAGATCTAGTAGTTCTTGGTCTCGCTCAATATATAAATCAAGAAAAAGTAGATCTAAATCAAGAGAAAGAAAAACATCTATTAGTGAATTCAAATTAAAAAGATCTAGGAGATCTAGGTCTCGTTCAGTTTGTAAAGAAACCAAATATAAAAAACTTAAAATTCATTCTGTATCCAAAGAATATGAATCTGTAGAAAATAAACATAAAAGGTCTAAAAAACGTAAAACTCGATCAAACTCTAAAGAAAGTGAGTCTAAAAGACATAGAAGTCGATCGATATCTTTAGAAAATACAGGTAAAAGATCCAAGAAGTATAGAACCAGGTCCAAGTCAAAAGAACTTGATAATATTTTGTTAAATGAAAAAGACTCTACCATACAATTTAATCCAAAAAGTACTCATAAAAA